TAAGAAAATAACTGTAAAACTGCCAAAACATTTAAGCATTGATCTTAAAAGACACTTCTATTTTCTTTTTCTCCATATTTTGTTTCTTTCTACATGATAGTAAAAGCATCTTAACTAAACTCAAATTGATTAAATTTGTCAAAGGACTGTCAAAAATGAGAGACTAAAAACAAAAAAATTAATTATAGTATTCCAGGTCTCAATGTAACGTTTTATGCTATAAATAGTATATATTGCATGTGTGTACAAGTCAGCAATTTAAAAACTGGCAAATTGTTTGATGACTAATAAATGATTTGATATCTCCATGGTTTCAAGGTAAATATTCAAGATTGAAATAATTTATTTACACATGAATACACCTGTCAGTACTAGACAGAGTCTATGTTTCAGAAAGTAAAGTTTAAGATCCAGTGAGCTGACAAACTCCCTAGTGTTGCGGGCATGAGCCACGCAGCAGTCCTGAACAGAAAGCTACTGTTGGTTCTCAGTGCACTGGCAGCTGTGGCCAGTCTTCTAGGGATGAGAAGTATTTGTTACAACATGCTCAGCAGAAACCCCCTCTCTTTAGTTTAAAATAGTTTTAAATCTCTCTTGAGATTTCTAACTTGAACCACATATTTAGAAGGATGTTGTTTAATCTGCAAACGTTTGGGGATTTTCCAGCTATCTCTCTGATATTGATTTCTACTTTAATTCCATTATGGCCTAAGAATGGATTAGATTTTATGATTTCTATTATTTTAAATTGTTCAGGTGTGTTTTATGACCCAGAATATGGTTTGTTTTGATGAATGAATGTTCCATGTGAGCTTGAGAAGCATATGTATTTTGCCATTGTTGGGCGAAGTGGTCTACAGATATCCATCATATCCAGTTGATGGATGGTGTTATGAAGTTCAGCCATGTCCATACTGATTTTCTTCCTGCTGGATCTGTCCATTTCTGACAGAGGGATGTTAAAGTCTCCATCTATAATAGTGAATTTATCTATTTCTCCTTTTAGTTCTATCAGTTTTTGCCTCATATGTATTTTTTTCTCTGTTTTTAGGCATAAAGACATTAAGAATTGTTATGCCTTCTTGGAGAACTGAATCATCATTGTATAATATCCCTATTTATTCCTGGTA